TTTTTAAATACTTTTTTTCAATAAATTTTCTTTCACTTTTAACCAATGGTCGAGTACATGACCTTTCGGGTTTTGCATGCGGATGAGATAGGCGATGCACAATGGATGAGATAGGCGATGCACAACGGATGAAATAGGCGATGCACAACGGATGAGATAGGCGATGTACAACGGATGCCGGCGGATCAGGAAATGAATAATGCAACTGCCGACACGTCCGCATTTGTCCACTTTGCTAATCAAATTCGCAACTGCTTCTCATGTTGCACGCACGTTGGGCGTGTAAAACGCGTGCGGAGCGGTTTACGCCTTATTTTGCTGTTTCGCTGAATATTTTTTTCAGCTCTTTTTAAAGTCAATAAGCGATCACTGGGAATTCAGTACATAAAACGAGAAAAATCAGAAAACTTGCTATTCCAAAAAAAAATGCAATTCTGAAAAATTTTCGGATTTCAACGAGCTGGCTAATCCCTCAACTGGCTTATCCCTCAATTGGCTTATCCCTCAGCCCACCAGGAAACGGGCTTTTCTGCCTCCAACTCCTCAGGTGAGCCTGATAAATGATGCGGTTCGTCGTTTCATAAAGGACACCAGACACGGTCATGCTAATGTGCGGTGATGAATATTTTCGAAGGCGTTTCCATTGTCGGCAAACGCCGACGTGGGCCGTCGGAACGAGACCAAAGACTCTCGACCGCCTCACCACATCAAATGGTGCCACAAGCGGACCAATTTGCATCCGAAGATGAAAGACTGTATTAAAAAAAAAAACTCCCTAATTATTTTCTGCATTAACGAACAAGAAACTGAATTTAAAAAAAAAAAATATATATATAACTTGGCGTTTCGTGTGCCAGGAATACTCGATGTTAAAATTCACTAAAATAAAGCAGCGTTCGACTTCTTTTCAGTCGTAAGACTGGGTTGCATCTTTTCACTAAACGTCTTGCAGATTCCTTGCCGTTCTTGTTTCAGTAAATGCGGATCGACGGCGGCGGTGTGCCTCTGATCGGATAATTCGGATAATTATTGGATAATTATCGATCATCGAAACGTTGCATCGTTTGGATGAACCGCCCAGAAAGGATCCAAGAAACTCTTGAAATTCTCAAGAATGGAGAAGGAAGACCAGGAAGAAGCATTACAACTGGCGATGAGAACGCCTTAAGGCGGTTCTGGCGTCTCCCTGCAGATTGAGTTTCCTCAACAGTTGGCTCCTTTCATTTTTTTTCCATTACTGGCCTTCCGTATTCTCTCCTCTGAAGAGTACCACTTGTTTAGGATTTATTATTAGGATTTAATAACTATGGCAGTATCCATCCTTTACTGGAGAACCCTGCTGATTCTGAACTACTAGGACATCTTCCGGAGAAAAGGCACACTACCATAAGCAATCTGCAATATCTGATATGAGCAGTCAGAAATCAACTATCATCAGATATGCAAAATTGATCTCACAATTGAGCAGGTGATTTCCTTCCTGAGTCTCATTGTCCCCATGAAGAATTCAGGAAAAATCCTACCTTTTTTGCACCCATGTTTAACCACACCACCACCAATCTCAGAGGTCATGTACCCAAGAGAACTACAAACCATTTGGCAAATTTCACATTCTGAATGAACTTTTCCCATTCAAAACATCACAGGATCTCCACCCAGTGCTTCTCTTCAATCTCAGTAACTCATTTGGGAGCATTTGGCATGGGAGACCCTTGCCACCACACGGCTGAAACCCGTGGCCTCCTCCACTTCCGAGAGCCCTCAGCTCCCACCCCCACCCCCACCTCAACCCACCCAAACCCATCCGACCCGATCCACAGTGCCGCCCAAAGGAAAAGTGCCTTTCTTTTATCAAGTTCTTTATTCAGAGGGAATGATCTGTGAGAGGGAGCCTAAAAAAGCCAAACAAGTTATTAGCTGGTGCTCATGACAGAGATGATAAATACCTCCATGCGTGACAGGGACAGAAAAAGAAACAACACTGCAGCATTTCTCCGATTATCACACCAGACGAGTTCCCTGCAGGTCCCTAAGAATCCCGAATTACCTCCTCCTCCTCCCAAAAGAATCCCGAACACGAGCCCGAGAGAAACGACCGGAGTGGCCCTCCAAGATCCTACTAAAGCTCCGAGTATCCCAAAAATATCACCGCGAATCCATGTCGTCCGTTCCAAAAGTAAACTTCGCCCCTAAAAATAAGATCTTCTACAACAGTGATGCCAAAATACTTTCATTTGATGGGGAAGAACAAAACTTCTGCAGTGCCAATAAAAAAATCCCAATTTCAATCCTCAAATTTCACATCGATGCAAACACGAAGTGCCTCGAAATCCTGAATAGGCAACCGAACATCGACCGAACCTGAGAGGGGGGGATCGTACTTTGAACAAACACGAATAGGCTTTTAGAAACATTTAAGATTTGCTGAATCCCTCTAATAGCCAGTGTATACCATCAAAGACTTCACACAAGCTTCTAGAAACATCTTATAAAAACTCGTAACCGAATTCTGTCAGTGATTCCGGGAGAAGACCGAACAACAAAAATAATCAGCAAACTTCCCCAGAGCACTGTAAACATGTACCAATCAGTTCATAGAGTGAAGTCCTGGATGAAAGTCTTTGATTGTCTACAGAGGCTCTAATCCATGTCAAACAGGTAATAAAAAGAAAGCTAAAAAACTATGACATGGCACAGAGAGAGTTGGCCGAGGGCATTCGAGCATTCATTCGCAAGAAGCAGCCTTGTGTCTGAGGGCATCGACGAGACGGAGCTTCGCCTTGATGCTCTTGTAGAGACGATAGGTCTGCGCGAGGGGAGCCCGGTCCTCGTCGGTGCGGGGCATGCGTCCGTACTCGACCTCGAACTGCTCCTCGAACAGGCGGATCTCCCGCTTCAGCTCCTTCCGGTGCTCCAGGAGCAGACGCTGCTTCTGAACCAACTCCTTCCTGCAATCCAACGCATCCATCAGTGTGCAATATTCATGGGATACCAGGAAGCATAATTATAACTCAAAGAAATTCAGACAAGAATGTACCAGTCATCCAAATGAAAATGAAAGGAATATACTTATTTGCATCTAAAGTACAGATTTAAAAAAAAGCAAGCAAGCAACTGAATCTACTATGCAGCCCTATATTTCAAAACTTTGCCTCATGAGTAAAATTTGCCAATCATCTTCATGAGAACAGCTTCCATTCATGAATACTATCTGGTAATGACATGTTCCAAAAAGTGGTACAAGACACCACTCTAACATAAACTTGGCTTTTGGATCCAACAGAATGTTAAAGGCACATGACTTCTTTTCAAAAGCTTTCCAGCCAGCATCAACACAATGGATAAAATGTTAAACTCAAACCAGTCACAGCCGTGATGAGTTTTTCACATAAATTTCTGGAGGGTCATGACCACAGGGCGACCATGTCTGGAAACAGTTGTACAAACTGGAGGCCTCAATGAGGATCTAATCAGTTAACATTAACCAAAATTTGAAGTTTGAAAATGCATGGGGATGCTGTTTAAGATCAATGTATGAGTAAATAAAAAAACTTTGATGGGCAGAAAACAGAGATGGGGAAGGGGCTGCTATTGTTCAAACAAGTGACTTTCAACTAAGCTGAACAACTTCAATGCCCCAAAATACATTTGAAAGTTTTTCTTTGGAAAATCACTTCCAAGCTCTAGGAATGAAAAATCAGCAATGGTGACTTACAGTGTGGAGACAGTATATTTCTCTTGCAACTGCTCCACCTCAAGACCAGGATCACCATCAGGATCCTGTTGAGGTGGTGACGGTGAGGAGTCTTCGCCTCGGCCAGAGGGAGACGGTGAGAATTCCGGCAGCTCGAGTACTCTGTGCTCGGGGATCTCACATAGCGTCGATGAACCTCCACTACGGGCCTGTTCATCATAGAGAAGAGGCTTTTATGGAGATGCTCATAACAATTGTGAATAGACAGAACTAACACCTTTTCTTTAATTGAAGCTAGAAAGCATTTAGCCCATCACATGACATGCAATCTGGATAAATATTCACAAAACTGTACATGTAACTTTTAAATTACTTTCCTTACAACACCATTCTCCATTCTGATATGGGACAACAAGTGAGAGGGTTCAAGGGGAAGAAATGAAAGCGCCTCTACAAAACCTGTTCACAGACTCGAGCAAGGATCTACAACTGCCAACAGCAAAAGAACGATGCAGCAAACCAAGTGGCATACCGAGGTGGAGAGGGAATTGCTCATTCCCATGGTTGTCACAGAGCGAGCCACCAGGCGCTTGAGGAGACGGTAACGTTGATATATGTGCTGGACCATCGCTTTGTCCTCCCTGGTATTGGGCTTCCCGTGCAGGGACTCGAGGTAGACGAGGGCCCGCTGCACGTCCAGCTTCTCCCCAGACACCTCGTCCGGCGTCATGGCCGTCAGCGACTCGGGTCTCCCTGCCTCCCCTCGCAGCTCCTCCAGGCGCTGCAAATTGCCACAACCGTGTCATCGTCACACAGTTGTCGAAGCCATTCCCACATTGGGTTCTCACATTATTTTGAAAATCCCTTCAAATTGACTGATACGTTTGTCTAGCTTCCATCCAGACATGTTATTTTGCATAAACCCAAAAGGGATTAACTTTCCCAAGTTTTTGGGGCCAGAATAAACAAAGAAATTCTGTGAATGTGAATGTCTACAGGAATCCTAGTGGAATTGGTTCAGTATCCTAGCTCTGAATCTTCAATCATTCCTTTCTGAGGTCATCTTTGACAAAGATGGAAGGTGAGTGTCCTACAACTTCACATGCCAATATGCATGATAAAAGGAATTGAAAGAATTGAATGCAGAGCTCAAAAGCTTATTGTGAACTAAAATTGATCCTTTTTACTCCCTTACTATCAATCTTAGCAATGTAATTAAATGTAGCCAATAAAATTGACCATCATTTGATGATTTAAGAAAAATAAGTTTTGGGTTTTGGTTCAAGAGAACATTAGAGAAAACTCAAGAGTTCCTTAAGCAAATCATGCATGCAAATCTTTTGAATTTGAATGGAAAAGTCTCACATAAGCAACAATTCAACTTTCATGTAAAAAAAAACCACAACCGAAATTTACTAATTCCCTTTAAGTCCTTCGTGACTTTTGTATTTTCAGTAAGGCACTGTCAGAAACAAAATAAAAATAAAATAAATGATAAATGGCTTTTGCTGACAGATACAAATATTGAATGGAAACGACCTCAAAAAGGAGAAATATTCCGTAGTTCTCCATCCAGATTCACAAGGCATGTCCACTTACAACTTAGAATATATATGTGCATTGCAAGCATTCATTCTGTTTGAAGTGAAAGTTAAAATGTCATATGTCCTCCTAAAATCACATACTTTACTTAAATTACATCAAAGTCTATTGCAATTAATTTTTTTTTTTGGGGGGGGGCTCCATTCACTAATAATAATAATAGCTCGGTAATAATAGCTTGGTAATAGCTCTCCTGTGTCCCAAGAATGTGCCTAGTTTGAAAATGAGCTTTTACATCACTGCATTCTCCTCAAAAGGGCATGTTGCCACCGACTGACACAGCCAGAGCGTTAAAAAAATCGCATCGTGTCCAAGACATCCAGTCCAAGGCTGGCGTGGATGCATCAGCGGCAGGAATCCAGAGGATGACTCAAAAGAGTCAGGGAGATTACGAGGCAGGTTTCATGCACAAGTACCGCAGTCACAAGTGCAGTATTCACAAGTGTGGCATTCACAAGTGCATCTTATGCAATGTCGCATGACTCATGAGTCCTGGAAAGGCTACAAAAACAAGTTGGCCTCGACACTCCATCCAGAGGCCCACGCACTCAAAGGCAGTTTTCAACGACCGGCTTCTGATGCCACGCTTGCAGGTCGAAAATGCATCCACGAAATTCTGAACAGATGAATGAAAGAATGAATGAATTTACCTTCTCGATGTTGATGATGGTCTGGAGGATGTGCGGCCGCCTGCTCGTCGAACGTCCGTTGTCTCGCTCCTCCTTCATGCCTGAGAGAACTCAAACTCATCAGCATCGGCATCAGCATCAGCCCAAACAGTGCACTTACTAAACATACGTTTCATCTCCATCTTGGCCTCCTTGATTTGATGCAGGAGAGGGCTCATGGTCTCGTGCGACATCATGTCCGCCTTGGACGGTCGGTAACCGCGAGCCGCCTTGAAGGCTTCCTCCTCCTCGTTCAGATGGCGCTTCAACCTGTCGCACATTATTTGCCACTCATTATTTGATCCCGGCAAACATGACTGAAGATCCGGTATCGGCAGTGGCGGCAATGAACTCTCGGAACGGGAAGGCTGATCTCGACAGCGTATCTCGTGTTTACAATTTATGGGAACATTCACGGTGCCATGCACTGGCGTATTGTAAGCAAGCTGAAAACGCACACAGATGTGGGCATGCTCTATATTTTCACTCCTAGACTGTCAAGTTGTCGTTTTTAGAGAATGCATTCCCAGCTTGGATATGAGCTTTTCCCGTGACTGAAATTCCAATCTGCTAATACAAGCATCCCTCTCCTTGTCCACCCCATAGAACTCCTTCTGCATCGTGAAAATTCCCATTTCGTACTTTCAGCATGAGAAATTAATGAAAGGGTTGGGGGGAATCAAAAGATGCCTTCAACAGCTCATAAAACCAAATCACGACATAATTTACGCCATAAATTAACACGAATAATAAACTCGAGTCCCCGCCACCCCAAAGCCACCTCGCTAAAAACCAACCTTCGAATCTTCTTCGCCAGGTGACGCTGCGATGCATCCAGCTGGGTCTGGGGCTCCTTGTGGTAACTCGGCCACCCATCGACCATGACCTGGCAGTGCGGCGGGGACGGGGGCAGGAGGATGTCGCCCTCGATCTCCCCGCTCGCGTCCCCCTCCTCGGATGTCTCCGCCGTCGCCTGCCGCTGGTACACCATCGAGGACCGGGGACTGGATATCACCGCGTCCTCCTCCTGGATGAGCCATGCGGGGGTGTAGTTGTAGCATGAATGCTGTTGTGCAGGGGAGATGCATTGCTATGCAGCTAGAAAGAATTCTTAAGCCTGATATCTCTCGCGAATAAACTCGAATCTTCGGATCGTGAATCATTGCAGTTGCTTGCGTGAGAATAACAGAAATTTGTGAAAACCTGCACCTACGACACATGTGAGGTAATACGGCGTCTACAGGTTGATAAGAGCATCCGGATCAAGTTCAAGAGTGCCAATGCTCTTGAACTCAAAACACTCAGAGGTCGAGGGATGAGGAAGCCTCTAAAATTAGAACGTCCTTGCATCATGCTCTCAATGGATCAAGTGGGTATTAGACCATTCGATGGCTTCCTCTTCATCGCCCGCAAGGGCAGGGAATCGGTCTCGACGCGTTTTGTAGCCATAATTCCCTCGGTCGGGGGTGGCCCTGAGGTCGTTATCGTTAATCAACCTGACCCAGGGATCAACCCCGGAAATAATTCAGCGATGAAACGTGATAGCCTCTCTAACTTCCATTTGTGGACACTAGAGGTGAAAGACCGTACGAGCACCTTAGTCATTCCTCCAGATCCCCAGGGATCGGAAAGATAAACTAAGGCAACACATGAACCCAGAACGCGCAGAGATCGTCGTAGTGACACAAATCGTACGACTTCTGAATCCACACCACGCGATAAGCAGATGCTCTCGAGCGGCTCCGGTGCAGCCCTCGTGAATAAACAAGAACGCTCTCGACACTCGGATGCCCCCGAACGAGATTAGACAAGGAACGGCTGAAACTAAAAATAAAATCTCGGCGAGCGCCGCGACCACTGACCTGCAAGCGCGTCCTGTGCGACACGATGGGCGACTCCTCGGGGCCCGGGAAGGACAGCGTCTCCAGGAGGGATGCCCTCCGCTCCGCTCCCTTTTCGTCCTCTTTGCCTTCCTCCGCTCTCTTTTTCTCCTCCTTCGCCCTCTTTTCCTCTTCCTTCGCTCTCTCCACCTCCTCCTCTTCCCTTTCCGCCTGCACAGAGATCATTCACGATCCATCACCCCGTTCACGTGCGCAACCGAGCGGCGAGACCTCGAGACCCACCGGGGAAAGAGACCATCGCGACCAGCGCAAGGCCTTGATATCCCTCATTTCATTCATGGGCCTTTGTTCGTACGTCGAGTTCGACTGATCTTCGCTTAACGACTAGCGTATTTTCCGACGATGGGGGTCGACCAGCCTGATGTATCCCCAAAGTGTTTCGACAGCTGTTTCGGTTGCCAGATGCGTGCTCCAAAGATAGAGGTCACTGTCGCCCGAATGCATGGCTACTTCCGGCAACACGAGAGTTGCCAAGAAAAATCTAGATTTCCCTGAGGACGGGATTTCTCATACAGACTTAAAGCGCTCATACGAATAACCTGCGAAGGCGGCAGTCAAAATACTTGAATTCATAGATCCACGTCGCAAGAGTTTTTTAAGTCACAGGCACCAGAACACGCAAGAAAATTCAAATATGATCGACATCTTTAACGATTACAGCCTGACAAAAGGATTTAGCCCCCCCCCCAACCTAATTTCCTCCGCAGAATAATTATCCCACAACATAATCAAGAATCACTGCGACTCTCGACAGTAAAACCCCGCGCTTCCAAGCTGCGTCATCATCAATCTCGCCAGACGAACTCGATTATCTCCGGCTCGCCGATCCACCGCCCTTTGTTCTCGAAAACGTGCCTCTAACACAATCTCGCGCCCTCTAAAACGTGTCCCAAATTCAATCCCGATTCACGTGGATGCAGGCACTAAACGCATCGAGTCACGCGATGAAACAACTCAACCGAACCACAACGTAAACAGAGTTCCGTTAACGAAGGCCGAAGCCAGGAAGAGTGTCAGGGGCAACGGGAGACAAGACAGGCGCAGGAGTGAGAGTTTGTTTACGAGAGTATCGTTGGTGACCCGCCCTTGCCATGCGTCTAGCAACGTGACGACCGATCAATCGTCTAGGACTCAAGGAGGATCGAGGGAGGGAAGGACGGAAGGGGGGGGGAG